CTTAACATAGCACAGAGTGAGTAAGGCACTGGGTCGTTAACCAAAAGGTTGGCAGTTTGAAGCCTCCAGCCACTTTGCAGGAGAAAGATGTGACAGTCTGCTTCCGTAAAGGTTTACAGTCTCGGAAACCCTATGAGGCAGTTCTTCTCTGTCCTACAGGGTCTCTATGAGTTGGGATTGACTTGATGGCAGAAGGTTTTTCTTTTATTTTTAAGGAGACTCAGAAGGGCAGGACGCAAGGTTCCTATGCTAGGGAATACGTACTAAGTGACAGGCATCAGATGCAGGCGAGTTTATTCCTGACCCTCCAAATAACCCAAGAAAGGGGCATTATCACCCCCTTTCTAGTGAACGAGAAAACAGCCTCAGTGTCTCGGCCAAGGTTGATCAGTTCAGAGCGCCAGTGCCAGAATCAATGGCTCCTCAGAGTCCCAGTGCCTCCGACGACTGGCTGGCTGCGCTGAAAAGCCACCCATGCTATGAACAGAAACACACAAGAAATATACTTTTTTCCCACCCAAAGGAACATCTTGAATGGAAGATGAAGGGAGTGACTTTTTCCATTAAAAAGGTGTACCGCTGTGGGGTGATTCACGAACCTGAGGGGAGAACATGATGAACCCACGCTGGGTGGGAACCAAAGAGGGGAAACCAAGGTCACACCGTCCCCGAGAGAGGCGGCGACAAGCTTGCAGACTTCAGCGCAACACAGAGCAGCGACGGAGGAGAGCAGCGACCGAGGGCTGGGCTGTCCACACACCCGCGGGGCATCTCACGCATCAAACAGATGCAGGACTTGCTGAAAAATCGCACCTCTCAGACACAGAAAGGGGCAACACTGCTCCCCTGACCTGACTCCCAGTCCGGAAGAATGGGCGGGTGGTGATGAGGAAGAGATGGGCCCTGAGGATAAAGGGCCCGGTCACCTGAGAATTTGTAGCAGAAGAGGGAGGAAACCTGCACCCTAGATTTGTGAAGAACAGGTTTCTAACAACTGATAAACAAGAGAGGGCCGTTGCTAGGCAGAGATGTGAAGGGAACGCTCTGGCTCATGGGAGACGGGATCTCTAAGGCAGGATACCAGTAAACCAGCCAGAATGGGCTCACTTCGGAAGAAAGGGCTGGGTCACATGGAGACCTTAGATGAGCTCAGGTTCAACAGGGACACTGACAAAAGAGAGGAGGGGGGGTAATCAGGGACTGAGAAGGAGGGGCAGGACGCCGAGAGAGGCCAGAGGAAGGCGAGGCCTCTCGCATCACAGAGAGGGCCTTTCTTCTGAGCTGGAATGAGAAGGCCAAGGGGGAGATGGGGGCTTCTCGCTGGGGCAGATCATCTGTCACTACCCACAGGACAACAAACCATTCCTGTTGGGTCTTCCTTTTCTCTGAGGAGAATGACTGTCCAGCTGGAAAGGGGAGAGCCAGCTTTGCGACAGAGAAAGAGAAGCTTCAGACAAGTGAGAAAACACGACAGCCCTGAGCGGCCCTGACTGGGTTCAGGCTTGAGCACTGCGGAGTCACATCATCAACTCAAGGCCTTCCATTCGAGGCATTTTTTTGGGTGGAAAAAAAAGAGGAAGACCCTCAACAATGTCCATGAATTATTTCTGGGAAAACCTACAGCACCCAGATGCCCAAGAAGCAGGAGAACAAGGGACCAAAGGAGAAAATACAGCAGGGCTTTCAAATGGCGAATCAGGCAGATTTCCGGAAACAACAAGGCAATGAAACAAGCTTGTCTATGACACACCCAATGGTCCAGATCAAGGTCTGCAAAGCACAGGACAGTTGGTGGTACATGAGGAGGAGAATGGCTCTACATAAATAACGTAAACCACGCAGGGATGTTTTTCCTTCACTCTTCCTGCTAGTGCCATGGAAAGAGTCCCAGTCCAGGTCTGGTGTAGCTCGACACCTCCTCCCTAATGCTTTTATGGGAAGCATAAAAAGCCCCAGAAGAAGGGCAGCCAGAATGCTCCTTGGAAGTGAGAATGGCCAGACTACATCTCATCTACTTTGGTCATGTGGTTAGAAGGGGCCAGTCCCTGGAGGAAGGTATCATGCTTGGTACAGTGGAAGGTCAGAGAAAAGGGGGAACCCTTAGCAAGATGGATTGACACAGTGGCTGCCACAATGGGCCAGGGCACAGCAAGGATCACGAGGCTGGCACTGGACCGGGCAGTGTTTCGTTCTGTTGTACATGGGGTCTCTATGAGTCAGAATCAACTTGATGGCACCTAACAACGACATAACAACAATGCTTTTCCGTTCCTTTTGTAACAGAGAGAGCCCATGCACACGAGAGAGAGCGAGTGAGTGTGCAGTGCAAGCAGACTTCAGATTCTGACCTGGGAAGAACTTAATAATGGTCTCTAACTCTTTACATAGGAGCTTAATAATGGTCTCTAACTCTTTACATAGGAGCTCTGGTAGCATAGTGCCTAAGGCACTTGACTGCTAACCAGGAGGCTGGCGGTTCAAACCCACCAGCCACTCCTCGGAAGGAAGGTTGGGCAATCCTACTTCCGTAGTGATAACTGCCTTGGAAACCCAAGGAGGGGTCGCTATGAGTCGGGGCCGACTCGACGGCAAATAACAACAACAACAACTCTTTACATATACCTTCTATTTACGGCAAGTGATACTGGATTTCCATTTAAGACGCATCTTTTAAAGAAAACTTACTAAAGTAAAAAAACAAGGTGAGACAATTTAAAGAAAAAGAATAAATTAAAAAATAGTACAAAAAATAACTATCATACAGTCTTGACAGTAACTGCTCAGGTGATAGCCAAATTATTACTACTGCTGCCAGTGCTACTTACACAATGTTTATTACATGCCAAGTGCTCTTCTTGGCTACCTGTGCTAACTCATTTAATTCCCCCACAATCCCATGACTTATTATCCCATGCTACCCACAGATGGGTTTGTAGTTTGCCAAATCAGGAATTCAGGAAGTGGAGAGCAGGTTTCGGACTTGGGAAGCATGGCCCCAGAGTTTGCAATTTTAGCCACTACACCATAGAACCAGATGGTAGCAAGTGCTTTAGAAAAAAAGAGAACACATTACTGTGAACCAGCTGGGGTTCCCTAGGTTCCAAAAGAGAGTCTAAGTAACTTATTTTTCCAGTTGAAAATAGCAAAAAATAAATGAGATTTCTAGACAAGGAGCTAGAGTGATTCCACAGACATATGTGCTGGGATTCCAGCAAAGCCTGTGACAGACCCTCTCACGGTAGCTGGGTAAACTAGACGGAGAAATGGCTGGGGACAAGCGCATAGCCAGGAGGACAACCACTACTCTCCAAGGAGAGCCCTCAAAGCCTCTATCAGCATTCTAGAAGGAGGTCTCTACTGCCACTTGAGAACCTTTATATTTCTTTATATTTTTCATCAGTGACTTATGTGAAGACATCCTTACTAAATCTGTACGTGACAACCATCTAGGAGCGACAGCCTATACAAAGAATAAGGCAAGTCTAAAGAGCCCCAAAGAGCGAGATCTGATGGCTGAATGTAATCAATGATGCAGATGATGACCCCCCCCATCCCAAACAATAGCTAACACTTGTGCTGGACACTTGCAATATGAGGTTCTCTAAGCTCTTCAGTTTTCCTAACAAACCTATACAAGGTGGAAACTGTTGTCACCTCCACTGTACAGATGAGAAAGCTGAGGAGCAAGCAGCTTAAAGAACTTGCTCAAGAGGAATCATGTTCTGAACCCAGACAACTTGGCTCCAGAGCCCACCACCATTTGCAGGTAGGTTCCAATATTAAAGGGCGTGAGCACCACGCGGGGGAAACCAGCTTGACAACAACATTAACACAAAAAGCAGACAATTTCTGCCGACCCCAAGCTTAGGGAAAGCTCAGTGGACTGCATGACTTTGAAAACCTTAAGGTTATTTTCAGACACTGAAAGGGGCGTCATGAGGAAGAGAAGAGTAAGCTTATTTTGTGTTATCTTTGAAGCAGAACTAGGTGGGGCGGAGGTTGAAAGTGATGTAGATTTCATCTTGTGAGGAAGAACTTCACAAAATCAGAGCTGAACACCCACAGAATGGGCCCTGGAGGTGCTCAAGCAGAGGTGGGAGCCATCTGTCTAGACAGTACATGTAAAAGCCCTCTGCAATCTGCGGGGCTCTGCAGAATTAGTGGTTCTCATTTTGTTGTTTTGAGAGAGAAGGTCGACTGATCTCAAAGGCACTACCCACTCTTCCTGTGTATTCTGATTTTCAGCACCGATTCATCTGGCATTCTGAACTAGATACCAAGGAAGGGCCTGGGAGAAAGTGGCACAGGGATCATTCAGAGCACGTGGTTCAAAATTCATTTAGGTTCCATCATGCAGTATCTCTCAGAGTAAACATTTCACGATGAAGATCAACAGAGGGCTCCAGAAGTCAGGGAGTTCATGATATCCCTTGCAGACTGAGTTCTGTTACATAATCAGTGATTTGTTCCCATGGAAAATGCATGCCCTGCTATGCACAGTACAGTAACCCGTCACTCTCCTCATTAAGCCCTTCTCACCTCATTTGCATCAGGCTTTGCTGTGACACACACACAGGGCTTGTTAGAGGATGTAATCTATCCTACTTTTTATGGACAGTTAACCTAGCACCTGCCCAGGGCTTCCCAGGACCAGCCCTTGTCCCAGGTGGGCAAGGCCACAGCCAAAGCAGAGGTTCTGGGGCAGGGAAGGTGAGGCAAGGAAAGTGCCTTCTGGCTTGTTGTAAAGGGTCCCAGGAATGGGAGTGGCTGTCAGATCATTCTTGATGGTCAGGCTTGGGAATGGCCAGGGACTGGGGGAGGGAGGAGGGCTAAGCTTCATGTCACTGGAGGTGTCCATCAGTGGCTCTAAACAGGAGATTTAGGGGCTGTGCAGGGGCTGGACTGGCTGACATTTAAGGCCCTTTCCAGCCCCAAGATTCATGTTCCATAAAGTACCATGTGATACTGCACACATCTGAACTGGAAATCAAGCCACTTACCCGCCCTCGCTCTGTGAGAGTTGTCAACATGACGATGAGTGATAACTTCTGATCCCAAACGACCTGCCAAAACTGAGCACAGGTATGCGGCAGGGGTCCCTGAGTGGCAATGTACTTGTTCACAAGGTTAGCAGCGGGAATTTCCATCTGGCAAGAGATCGTTAAAGGCATTAGGATCTGTTATTGCCACAAGGTGGACAGGAAACTGGATTTTAAACTCTTCTACTTGGTAACTGACATCACACCAGACAGAATAAGATCCCTTATCAATTTACAGAAAATGAAAAAAATAAAAGAATTATTTTAAAATCCTTGAAAAATATTTGACAATACTCTAGCAATTGTTAAGGTAAAATCTGCGACACTGAGCAGGCAATAATCAGAAACTGAAGTACAAGATGGCAGAAGAGTTTTAAATGACTTTCACGGCTTTACCTTAAATTATCATCTGTCAGTCTCAGTTATGTTGTATCTTCAGCAATGCATACCGATCCCCACCCCAAGTCTTTCCCCACGCAGTGTTTTCTATCAAAATCTGTTGTCTGAAGCATAAACCACACAGGCATACACCACCAACGGTGGGTGCACGTTACTCTTTGCATGATTTCTAGTGCTTGCACCGTCAAGTTGGTCAGTCTTGACACTACGCAGCTGAAATGGTTCAATCGTCCTCAGGGTCCCTCTCCCATCCTGCTATGCTTTTGCTTTTTGCCTTATGAGCTCGAGTCCTTTCGAGGAAAGAATACTCAGAACGTGCTGAGCTGTGGACTGGCACTGTGATTTACTCATTCTTAAGTGGGGAAGGTAAATAAACCCAAAAACCCACTGCCACTGAGTCAATTCCAATTGACAGCAACCCTACAGACAGAGTAGAACTATCCCGAGGGTTTGCAAGGCTGTAACCCTCTGCTGAACCACTGCTTCATCTTTGTCCTGTGGAACACCTGGTGAGTTTGAACTGCTGACCTTCTGGTTAGCAGCTGAATGCTTTGACTGCTGTGCCACCAGAGCTCCTGGGAAGGTAAGTGGAGGCTCCTAATTCCTGGTTTGGTTAGTGCTGGGGTGAATGGCTTCTCCAGTTCTGGTCTCAGTTCCCCATGGACGGCATGGTCTTGCCATCTGTACTGTCTCTGACACTGCTTTCAAGCCGCCAAGGACACTGAACAGAGGGTCAATGAACCCTACAGGTGTTGAGGAAGACGTGGGACGACTGATCAGATTAATTTTTATTAGGGTAGTTCATGATCCTTGGTGACAACCTGAGAACTTAAACTGAGAAATCACCTGTTCTTTTAGGTCAGGAGTTGGCAAACCATGACCTTAGGGACAAGCCTGACAAAGTAGCTGCTGGGCTAAGAGTGATTTTCACATTTTTCAATGGTTCAATTTTAAATGGTTATATGTGCATGTGTATACGTATATAAGACAGCTGCCACTGAGACAGTGTGAACTCCTGGTGACGCCATGTGAGTCAGAGTAGAACTGAGCTCCTCAGGGTTCCCATGGTCAGACTTTTGGAAGTAGATAGCCAGGACTTTCTTCCAAGTGCCTCTGGGTGGACTTGAACCTTCTGGTTAGTAGCTGAGCATGTTAACTATCTGCACCAACTAGAGACTCCTAAATAGTTACATTAAACCCCAAACCAAACTCACCGCCATTGAGTCAATTCTGACTCATTGCGACCCCCTTTGGGTTTCCGAGGTGGCAAATCTTTATGGAAGCAGATAGCCCAGTCTTCCTTCCATGGAGTGGCTGATGGGTTTGAACTGCCACTCTGGTTAGCAGTCGAATGTTTTAGGCACTAAATAGTTCTATTCCCAACCAAACCAAACTCACTGCTGTTGAGTTGGATCTGACTCATAGCGACCTCTCCTTGGGTTTCTGAGGTGGTGTCACTACGGAAGTAGATTGCCCAACTTTCCTTCCGAGGAGTGGCTGGTGGGTTTGAACTGCCAACCTTCTGGTTAGCAGTCAAATGTCAGGCACTACGCCACCAGAGCCCCCAAATAGTTCTATTGTTGTTGTTGTGTGCTGTCGAGTCAGACCCAACTCATAGTGACCCCTCCTTGGGTTGCTGAGGCAGTATCACTACAGAAGTGTAATACCTGTGATTTTGCCTCTTAGCCTACAAAGACCAAAATATTTACTGCCTGGCGTTCTACAGGAGAAGTTTGCCAACCCCATTTAGATGAAGAAACTGAGGTTTAGAGAGGCCCAGGAAGGAGAATTAATGCTCTCCCTACAACATGTAAAATCCTTCACCTTCTCTTTTTGGGTCATGTACGTAGAAGAAGTTTTATTTTCAGGCAGGATGTACATTAATGACATGGGGGAAAACACAGAGAAACTTACAAATGGACCACTCACAAGAAACAAAACCTAACAGATCAGCAGCAAGGGCAGAGCCACATGACCACAGAGTCAGGAACACTGACTCCCTGAATCTGAACTTTGGCCCTACCTCCTGTTAAGCTTTGTGACTTTCTCAGATTACTTAACCTCTCTGACCCTTAGCTTTCTCCTCTGTAAAATGAGACTCTCCTGCTTTCCCTCACGTGGCTGCTGTGAGGCTGTCATGAGGCTGTGACCAGAAAAGCTCATTGCCAACTGTTGTTCGATACATGCCGTCATCATCACGGGTACCACAAACAACACACTCCTTATTACATAAGATTTCTAACTTACGTTCACATAACTTGCATTAATATAATCTTCATTTCCCTGCAATAATACCCGGGTGGTGTCATCTGTGGGGGAGAGAAAAATTTACCAATTATTCTGAGTGTTATTTTTATCACAGCAAGTAAACACGGGTTTCGTTCCCAGCCCCATCTGCAGCGCTCATCTCATTAGCATAAACACTATTCCCCAACTGTTCAGAGTCTGAAATGGCTGCAATAAAGACTGTGGTGTTTACAGACACACTGAGGATCGTTCCAGAATACCAGACAATCTGTTTCAAAAAGGGAAACATTCTCTCAGTGTGGGGAGGGGGGTGGGAGGTATTTGCGCTGGATACTCACAAGGCAACACATCTTTATATCGGTTTTTGTCCAAATTTTGAGGCAGCTTTGCAAAAGTGATGGCCAGCCCAGGCTTCTTTCTGTAGAGTTGCTATATAACAAACAGAAAAGTTAAAAAAAAAAAAAAAAAAAAATCACCCAGAAAACAGCTACGAAGGGAGTGAGAAGATATACTTTACGGTAAAGTTCACAGTACTGAAATCTTAAGATTTAAAATGTGATTATGAGTTATATATTAAAAGGAAAGCTTCCCAACAAGAAATTCTCCAATTCTGTGGGAAATGGACTAAATTCTTCAATGATTTTTTTTTAAACATGAGTGTCTTTGGGAAAAAAAGTCACAGGAAGGGGCCTGGGTCACAGATAATGGACCATGGTGAGTGAAACCTTATCAGCTTTGATAATTGTGTGGCAAAGGCTAAAAGCAAAAATGGGGGGGAACGGGAGAATTCAGATTCAAAATTAAACAGAAATCATCAAAATTAGTCCAAAAATCATTTTCTCCCATTCACTGGAGTGAACTGTGTTCTTTGCGTAAAAACAACAGCATGTCATGCATCATTTCAGAAGTCTATTTCCACAGCTAAATATGTAGTAAACTTGACTTAAAGTAGTATTTCTCTGTTCATGCAATCACTATCAAAGGGTTAATCGGTCATCTTTGCATGTCTACAAGCACACGTCAGACACATCTGTACAGCACTCAACAGGATTTTCAAAACAGTCCTGTGAGAGAAGTATTAATAACATCCTTGTCTTGCAAGTGAGAGTCAGAGGGCGAATGGATGCCTAGCTGAAATCACAGCCAAGAGGAAGGACTCACACCTGACCTCACTGCTTCTGTGTCCTTTGCTATACAACTGCATCTCCCACCATCAATGGCAGAGTTAGGCCCTTTTCACCAGAGGTTTTTATGAACTGTGTTGGAATTGAAAAACAATACAATTGTTTTTCAATGTTGGAAGTGATCTTTGTTTTTTCCCTGAAAATTTGAGATATTGTACCAGTAACCTCACAACTCTGAGGTGACCTTTTCATGTATTTTCTCTGTGTGTACATGTGCACAAGTACGCACATGCATGTATACACACCTATCACATATACAGTGAAACCTATGGCAGCCAGAACTCCACGGGACGACGGCCTTGTTTTTTCCAGGTCTTGTGAGTTTTCCCCCTCTGACAGGGTACAGTCTTACTATTCTTCTACCACTCATTTTAGTGAAAATATTTGCATTTTCCTTCTATGACAGGTTTCTGTCTTATGCAGGTGCCAGCTTTTGCAGGTTTTACAGTACCTACATGTGTATTTTAAAATACAAGGAATGACAATGAACTATATGTTGGTTCTTCTCACATTACATTCTACAGAACCCAAGTGTCGCGAGAGAAGCTAACAAGTATTTCCTGGAAAATGTTTCATTATCAAAGAAACATGGGAAGGAAACACAACAAACCATATTGTCTTTCTGGACAGTCACAGAGTGTAGGTCTTACAGGATTATCTATCTGTTTAGCTCTGATTAGCTGAGTATTCCTCAAGTTAACTTGACTATGGACGATCTCAGCATCTCAAAGCGGGCAGTGAAATATACCAGAGCTTGGGGCCTGTTTTCTCCTGCTTATTATATAGTACATATTTCCCCATGTCTTTTTAATAGTCTCTATATGCATGATTTTTAATGATTTGATTATAATCTACCATTTACTATAATTTAACTTTTATTCTATATTTAAGTTATTTTCAGTATTTTTCTCTTAGAAATTCCTAGGAACAGAATGACTGCATCAAAGTACATTTTTAAGGATTCTGCTAACTATAGCCAAAGGGCCCTGCAGAACAGTTATGTCCACTCACATTTCACAGAAGTATAACAAGAATGATCAGGTCACCAAATCTTGGGCAAAAGAATCAACTAAGGAGTATTTGCAATCTGAATATGGAGGCTGAATGTTTTCTTTCCCGTTTATTTTCGCAGTTTGTACTTCTTGTTTTGTAAGCTGGCTGCTGTTAGTGATATTTGCCCATAATAATGTTGTTGTTGTTGTTGTTGTTTGCCGTTGAGTCGGCCCCGACTCATGGCAACCCCTCCTTGGGTTTCCGAGGCAGTATCACTACGGAAGTAGGATTGCCCAACCTTCCTTCCGAGGAGTGGCTGGTGGGTTTGAACCGCCAGCCTTCTGGTGAGCAGTCAAGTGCCTTAGGCACTATGCCCATAATAACAGTGTATCCTATTTACTTACCAAATGCTTGGAATTTCCAAACTGCAGGAGCTCAACTCCTGATCGCCTTTAGGATTTCAGTTTATAATGACCAAAAAACTTCTCTAAACTAAACAACTCTTCCACTGAACAACTTGTCAGCTAAACATCTGCAGGCTTTAATGGACTCCCTGCAGTCCTTCTAGGAAAAAAAAATTCCTGATTTACAGGAGGTTTTGGTTGGGCTCTGGCAGGAGGGGGCTATCTGGGTCAGTCAGATTTACTTAATGGCTTCCTGGTTTTACCCGACTAACTGCAGATCAGTGAAATCCAATTAAGGGACTCTAATCAGTAAAGCTGATCTGGAGGTAATGAGAGACTTTTTCGCCTCCAAACATAAATGTAAATGTCATCAACTGGAGATGATCCGTCCAGCAAACAGCACAGATCGAGCTTTAAGTACAAAATGACTTTAAATGGATCTTGGCTGTAACAATCTGTTGACAAGGCTTGTAAAGCACTAAGATACATTTTTATTTTTAAATAAAATACTATGGGCACTGTTTTAAAAAGTTTAAATATGCACACTTTGGGCTTTATCTGACAGAAATACATAAAGATACATGTCAGAGACATTTACCTGCAAAAATTTTTTTTTATTAGCAGAAAACTATAAAAAGTGTCAACATTCCTAAACAGGATGAAGTGTTGATTTAATTATGGCACAGCTATACCATAATCTTCTGCATAATAAAGAAGAATGGAAGACTGGAAGTACAGCTTTGTAAGTGCATTCATTCATCTCTTGTTAAGTGCAAAACGCAAGTGACAGACTACTGCATCAGTTGTGAGCCCACTTACTCACATACTGGCACACATGTACATATACATATTCTATGTGGGTACACACAATCCTCTGTATGTATACATTTATGTATGTGCATAAACATATTTGCATGAGCAAGTAGGGAGCAATATACATCATCATGTTATTTACAAACTATAACAAAGAGGAAGAAATGGAAGGGAGCAGAGGTCAGGAGACAACAATTCTTTGGTCATTTCTGAATTACTATCATAATACTGAGAATTAAGATTTCTTAAAATGATTGAAATGATAAGCACTATAACAAAGGAAATCTATTTATAAAATTAAAAACAAAAAAAAGTGTTTATGAAAAGCTGAGTGAACAAACCAAAGCAAGGATTTTTTTGGCCTTTGGCAGGTTTGACAGCCTACTCAGATTCACTCAGATTTATGTATGCCTTGCAAAGTGCAATGATGAATCCTGTTTCCACTGAACTGCTGCAGTCCTATTTAAATACTTAATGTCTGAAATGCAAAGAGTTAGTTGTCAAGCTCCTATAGAGTCGACAGACTCGTCTCCCAATCTTGGGGGCTGCCTGGTAGGCTGGGTATGAAGACACTGGTCTGAGAAAGAGGGATGAGAGTAGAAAGAAATTCACAGGAAACACACAGTCTTTCTGGAAAGGCCAAAGATGTGGGGAAAATGAGTTAAGGCTTCATATATTGGCCGGAATTTGAGACAAAGGTTTTTAAAGAACTACTCATTGGAAGGGAGCTCTGGTAGCATAGTGCCTAAGGCATGTGACTGCTAACCAGAAGGCTGGCAGTTCAAACCAACCAGCCACTCTGCAGAAGGAAGGCTAGGCAATCTACTTCCGCAGTGATCCTGGGGTCATGCTGAGTCAGGACTGACCCCACAGCAATGAGTTTGGTTTGGTTTACTCATTGGAAACATACAGTGTGCTTAGTGAATTCCTGAGCTGGAAGTGTGTGAGATGGACAAGAGCTCCCTAGTAGGAGGGTGATTAGGAGGCTGAAAGGCAGGATCATGGGACAGAAGGTTATAAACGACTTAGTTGAACCAACTATTAATTTTTATGTTCTGAACTGTTTTGTTTTCATCCTATCCAAGAAGCTCTGAAACTAAGGATAAATTATAAAAAGATTGGCTGAGAGAGGTTGCTAGGGAACAGCTGTATCTGAATCACAGCATCAGCATCACCAGCTCTGGTCTCCAAAGACAAGCAATGGAATAACAGGAGCTGGGTTACTCTGGAGCAGTATGGTGGGGCAGATAAGTAGAGATGGTTTTCCAGTTTAAATGTTTCTTATTAAAGTAAGAGAAGGCATCAAAAGATAACTACCATCTCAGACTTCTCACCCAATCAAAGATGTGAAATCTTAGTAATACTTCTCACATGAGGGCTTCAGACACCAGAAATGTTTTTGTTCACCACCATCAATCCTGAGCCCAGCAATGTTCCTAGCACACAGTAGGAACTTGTAGAGTGAAGGAATAATGGGACCTGCTGCTTTAAAAAAAAAAAAAGAAAAAAAAAGGAGCAAAGCCATGAATTAAGCATCACAAGAAGATGGCAGTGTCAGCTTTCAGACATGGTGTCTCTGTGGACAAATAATTAAACTCAAGGGGAACTCCTTTTTGATCCCGGCTTTGAGAGGCTGTTTTTATCGCCATTCTGTAGGCAAAACAACCACCACGACTCACGAGTGGCTCATCCTCATCAGTGGCATCTCTTTTCCTTTGTACCTGACCCAGCCAGAAGGCAAGAGACAGTGTCTACAAGAGCCTAGAACCTTCTACCTACTTTCCCGTAACAGTTTGCTGAGTTGAATTGAAATTGCTGCTGGTAGTTTGGGGACCTTAAGTAGTGCAACTTTAAATGCAGTCCCAGGCCTAGATCCTCCTGCTAGCATACTTAAATGGTTGACATGCTCGGCTAGTAACCTAGAAGTTGGTGCTTTGAGTCTACCTAGAGGCATCTTGAAACAAAATCCTGGTGATATGCTCCCCAAGCCCTTGGAGTCCAGTTCCTCTGACACACATGGGGTCACTGTGAGTCA